CTGGTCGGATATTTCCGCAATGACAGGCTTCATGACGACTGAGCTCCCTGTAAAGAACCCGTTAAGGCAGCGGACAACCAGAGCCCATTTAAAGGATTTTGAGACGCCAAACAGCGCAAAGGTCAACAGGTCGCCCAAAAGTCCCATGAGTATAACTGGGCGCCGGCCAATGCGGTCGGATAGAATGCCCCAGTAAGTGACAGTCAATGACCTTAGAAAGTGGTAGGACGTGAAAAGAATGCCAGCGTAGAAAGCAACATCTTTAGGGTCATTAGCTATTTTGAATTCACCGACCATTTGGAACATGAAAGGGAGGATTATAGTATAGCCCATTGGCTCTATCAGCTGGATAGTTAGAAGAACTGTTAGCTTTCCCCACGGCAGAGGAGTTTCCCCTACAATATTGTTACCATCGTCATGAGGCGGCTCTTGGCTGCCTGTTTCCGCGAGAGGCATAGTACCCAACGTCAACAACGAATGTGGATATAGCCAATATATAGAAGAATGGGATAGATGGTAGTCGGAGGAAAGAGATTGGTGTCCAGTATATACATGTCGCCGTCTATTTTTACAGCCAAGAAAAAAAAACTAAAATAGATATTGAGCAGGGCTCCTTTTTTAAAATGGATATTTCAAATATATATAAATTTCTGAACAAAATCCGCTTCTCTTTATGAAAAGATTTTTTAAACAGCCCCAAACCTTAAAAATAAAGCCCACTGTAAATTCTAGAGAAAAATGTATCCCTAGAAATTGGGGCTTCCGTGGGTTGAACACGGGTCCGTGCGAACTTAAGTCACCCGCTCTCCCTTCTGAGCTAAAGCCCCAGACAGCTACTCCAACGCTCGTTGCCTCCTACACACCAAAGGAGCTACATGTGTTCTATCAAATGGTAATCGTCGTGTGTGTGCGACTAGGTGCGTTTTATCCATTTACATGTTGGTAGGTTATAATTTTTGATCATCCAGTACGGCCGCTTGATTCCCTTCCAGGTTGCCTCGTCCATGACGATGTCGCTTGCAACCTGCGAGAATTCGGTGGAGATCCCAAGTGTTTGAAGGTCCGAGCACACGACATTGCAGTAGACATCATGAAACAGCTTGTGGTCACCGCCCAGACCATTAAAGAAGCTGTAGATGCCGTCAGGCTTGCTCAAAATGGGCTGTTGCGAAACGTTGTTTGTGTCGAATATAGCGCGATGAAAGTCGTCGAGATCCTTGTAAAACTCGCCAAATGTATCGAAAAAGATGCCGTCATATGGACCCAGAGCGCGGATTTCATCGAGCTTGTCCTGCCATCTGCCAAAGAGGATGTGGACATTGGGCTTTTCGTGCCATCCATTATTCTTCATGTGTTTGTAAACGTCTGGATGAGCCTCGACGATTACATGCTTTCCGGGTTTGAGTCCTTGCAATGCAGAGTCGATTAT